TCGTTGTGGGGAGAGGAATAACTCTGGCACAAGAAGCCCTCTCTTCTGATGCTTTACTGTAAGTTTACTTGCACAAGAACACGCGTGCAGTATAGATGCTCCGCAAGTTTTTGCGCAAAAACGGCCATTCTTTTGCAAAAAGCCTGCAGTGTAGACGTAGCCTGAGGCTACGTCTACACTGGCACGATTTTCCGAAAATGCTTTTAACGGAAAAGTTTTCCATTAAAAGCATTTTCGGAAAAGCACGTCTAGATTGACATGATGCTTTTCCGCAAAAGCACTTTTTGCGGAAAAGCATCCGTGGCCAATCTAGACGTGGTTTTCCGCAAAAAAGCCCCGATTGCCATTTTCACGATTGGGGCTTTTTTGCGGAAAACCCTACTGTGCTGTTTACACTGGCCCTTTTGCGCAAAAGTCTTTTGGAAAAAGACTTTTGCCCAAACAGGAGCAGCATAGTATTTCCGGAAAATCACTGACGATCTTACATGAGATCGTCAGTGCTTTTGCAGAAATTCAAGCGGCCAGTGTAGACAGCTGGCAAGTTTTTCCGGAAAAGCGGCTGATTTACCAGAAAAACTTGCCAGTCTAGACACAGCCTGAGTGTCTGGAAAACAGCACAACGAAAGGTCTTAGGCTCTGGTTGTAGAGACTTGGCTAAGTCCAGGCTCATTGATGGGGGTAGGAAAAGCGGACAATTGCCCTGGGGTCCAACAATTCAAAAGGCAGCCACAGCAACTAGAGCTCTAGGCCCTTTAAATTGCCATGGGAGCCCCATGTGGTGTGATCCCGGCAGCTTCTAGGAGTGGTGGGGGATGGGATTGTGCGATACTGATCTGAGGGCTGGCTCCCCACTTTGGCTAGGTGCCTGGCAATTCTGTCAGCCACCATGACTAAACCCATAGGAGAAAGTCCTGTAACGCTCAGGAAGTCTGGAACTTCAACTTGCTTATTCAAGTAGTTAACATTTCCTTTTTAAAAATGTCTTGTTTAGCCAAGACTTCAATGAAAAAGGAAAACTGTCAAACTCTGAGACTCTCTCTCCTTTTCTGGACCGTTCTGCCTGTTAGATGAAATATATGTGTCACAATATCACTGCTCCATCATACTATTTCATATAATTGTCCTGGCATTAGTTTCAGTGCAGTCTTTGATCTGACCTGACATTCAGACTGACACTATGGCTTTATAATCAAAGGTGGGAATATGCCTACTTCACAAATGAAGAAAAAAGCATTCACTCGGTTTTGCCCAAGTGTGATTCACAGCTAAATTACCTATATTCCCAATGAACTTGGAATAGTTTTTACATGTGCGGGCTTCCTAAATCATCTGTTAACAGAGACAAACCGACTTAGCTAAGTGCTTTGGAGCCATTGCAAAAAAATTCTTGAATAACTGGGATTTTGGGTGACTGGAATAAATGATATATCTACATCACATGGATCATTTCCCTCAGTCATGTATATACATAATAGTCACCAATGCTTTTGTCACCTCAAAGTTGGATTAAAAGATTCAATAGCTGCAACAAATGCAGAATTCAGCAGCCCCGTGATTAAGTTGCATTTCTCCTGTCCAGCACATATTTGATCTCACCTATGTGGTTTAAAATAGCAATATAAATACTGCTATGTTCTAGCTCAGTCGGAAGATATGGGCTTGATGCAAGAATTATCACGTGATATCCCTTAGCCTGTGTAGTTCAGGAGGTCATACTATATACTTAATGGTCCTTTCTGGTCTTAAATCCTAAGACGGTATTAACTCAACTGTACTGATAACACTTTATCATCAGATCCTGTAGTGCAGGGGTAGGACATTGTTTTTGAGTCGGGGGCCACTGACCCACAGAAAACTCAGTCAGAGGCCGCACAAAAGTGCAAAACAAAACAAAACAAACCCACAGAACAAACCAAATGCTCACAAATGTGGCCCCTGACACTCCCCACATTCTCCTTTCACAAGGGAGCCTAGGGGGGGCCAGCCTAGTAGATTTTGTGTGTATCAGTCCTGCAGTGGTGCAATGGGGGAGCTGGAGCACAAGCTCTCCAATGCTTGCGGGGGGGAAGGAGGGGACTGAGCCTCTAGGGCCAGATCCAGGCAAGCCAAGGGCCACATCCGGCCCCTGGACCTGAGGTTCCTCACCCCTGCTGTAGTGCCTTCAGCAACGCAGCAAACATTACCCTAAGTCATATCTTGTTGAGAGTTCAAGATATAGTGTCTTTCTTATGCTATCTGGGGTTTTTCTCCCACAAGGAGTAAATGAAATACAGTAAACTTCCGATAATCCGGCACCTTTAGGACCCAGGGGGTGCCGGATTATCAGATTTGCCGACTATCAGAAGGGAGGGCTATGAAGGGTCTGGGGTGGGGTGGGGAGGGATGCCACCCCAGACTCCTCATAGCCCCCCCCTTCCGATAGTCCGGCTCTGCCCCAGGCGTCCCTGATTCAGCCGCTGCTGGTCAGTTT